CCTGTGTAAAAATAACGTGTGAGTTGGAGGAGCAGGATGGGTTTGCTTTGGGGTGGTTTGAAGGTTTCCTGGAATGTGTGGCTGCAGGAAACCCCTTCTCCTTGCCATGCTGCAGCTGTCACTGTGGCAGGGCTGTTCCTGCTGCTTCCACACCTTTCCTTGGAGCAAACTCCTCCCTTTGCTCCAGCCAGGGAGGGCTGGGCTGTCCTTGAGGCTGTCCTGGGTACAAACCTGGAGTCAGGTTGGTGTCACTGCTCCACTCCCTCTGCTGATTTAACAGCCACGAGGATCTGGGCAGCTGAAGAATTATTCACAATTCCTGAGGCTGGAAAAGCCCTCCCAGCCCACAGAGTCCCATCCTCACCTTGTCCCCAGCCCAGAGCTCTGAGTGCCACCTCCAGGTGTTCCTGGATGGACACCTCCAGGGATGGGCAAACCTCCCTGAGGTTCAGAGAGTTCACTGAATAAAGAGCCTGACCACCCTTTCCAGGAAGGAATTTCAGTGCCTTCTTAAACCTTCAGAAATCTCAGTCACTCCTCAGCTGTTCTCTTTCATCCCAAGGTTAATGCCAGAATTCATCTTCCCTGTGCTCTGTTGATGTCTGATTTCCAGAGCTGTGGAGGCAGGGGATGGAGGTGCATCTTGTTATCTTGCTGAGGATTCTTTAATGCTTCCCAGGCAGCTCTGTTCTACATGGATGGAAGTTGGAAGTGGGGTGGGAAGCATCTGTCTCTGTAAGCTGCTCAGCACATGAATATGCTCCAGGATTTGCTCTGTACCCTTGGGCACAATCCCTGCAATATCCTCATTTTCCTCTTGCCTTAGTTAGCAGACAGGCCCTGGGAATCTGGGGATTTGGCTGCTGTAACACCAGAGAAGGAAAAGGAGCAATTCCCAGGGGTTGTGGCTGTCCTTGGAGCCCACCTGGGCTGAGGAGGGATCCCTACAGTCTGTGCCAGGTGATTCTGTGTGTCTGGAACACCAGGGCTGTATTTAAATGGCTTTTCTTAGGTACACTGGTTTATTTTTATGCCTCGTTTCTACACTCCCTATTTAGCTAAATATGGACAAGGAAATGTGCTGCTGATAAGGCTGCATAGCCTCATTATTGTTTTTCCCCAGAATATAGATCACTCCAGTGTCCTGGTTCCTGTGCAGACCTGAGCTAGCAGCACTGTCAGTGCCACAAGCCCCCCAATATTTTATGGCAGCTCTTCCACATGCAGGAAACAAGCACAGGACAGGGGGAAACAGCTTCTAGGTGGGCCAAGGGAGGTTCAGGCTGCATATTGGGAAAATTCCTGCTCCAAAAAGTCTGCCCAGCCCTGGCACAGCTGCCCAGGGCAGTGCTGCAGTCCCCAGTGGTGAAGGGAATTAAAAACCCTGTGGATGTGGCACCTGGGGACATGGTCAGTGGTGGCCTTGGCAGTGCTGGGCTGGATGGATTCAGGACTTTCCCAGCCTCAGTCACTCTGTGCTCGTGATGCAGCTCGTTGGGAAATGTAAATATTGTTTTTCCTTCTGATGCTAAATGACATTTTCAGAAGATGATTGAATGTTCATCGCTGCACATGGAGGCTCAGTGACCTAAAGCCATCAGTTCACTGTGAGCTGAAAACAAAGGAGGATGTGCCTGAAGAATTAGCTCTGTCTGAGCCCCATTTGTTCCTTGAAGGAGCCTGGTCAGTGCAGGGATTAAACTTCTGGAGGTGCCTTCCCTGCCTGGTGCTCCCTGCTGGGTGATGCAGCCAGTTGTGTGCACATCTGGATGATGGTTTGTCTTAAAATAGTCAGGAACTCTGAAAGAAACCTTTCTGGTAAGCCTCTTTCATTTAAATATAAAATGTTTGGTTTTTTTTAACTGAGCATAATTCATTCAACTGTGACCCTGCACGGGGGGTGGAGAGCTCCAAACTTTTCACCTCTGGATTTCCAAGCTGTGATTCAGGGCCTTTATCTGAACCACCCAGAACTGCAGTTGCTGCCTGAAGTGTGGTCTGCCTGCAAGCCTGACCTTTTATTGTTCAAAGAATGAAAAAGAAGAGCTTGAACTGAATTATTTTCCATAACAGACTTGCCAGGAAGGACAGAAACACCACTATCAGTGGGACCCCATTGTTCCCAAGGAATGTGAGGCTGGAGCCTGTAGGTATGTGGTGGCCCTGCAGTGCTGACACAGAATTTCCTGGAGTTCAAGGAGTAGGAGCCTTTGTTTTTTGGGAACAAGAGGATCTGTGTTCTGCCTCCCCATGGAAGGCAGCAGGCCTGGGCTGCTGCTCAGTGGCCACTGGGTCACCCCTCCTGAGCCAGCACAACAAGTGTCCCTTGTGTTCCTGTGGCTGCAGCTGGACCGTGTCAGCAGGAGAGGCTGGAGCTGGGCATGTTCACCTGGACCAGGGGAAATGCAGGGAGAGCTCAGAGCCCCTTCAGACAGCTGGACAGGGACAGGGACAAAGCCTTTCTGTACATTCCAGCAGCTTTGCTTGGCTCTTGCTCCCAGGGATGGCTTCAAAAGGCTGAAAAGTGAAAAAGTAAAGAATTGGTGATGGGTGTGTGTTGTGCCAGCCTGAAGGCTGCAGGTGAGTCAGTGCAGTGCATTTTTTCAGCTTGGTGCCAGGAATAAATTGAACACAGAGATGCAGATCAGGGAGGGATAACTGGTGATTACTTCTCTGTTTCCAGTTCATAGCTGTGGATATAATGCCTACGTGTGCACTTTGCTGCATTTTTTTCATGTGAACATTATTAAAACGTCACTTTCCCCCCCAAATCCCAGGGCTGGAGGGGGTTTGCTGGGATTAGCAAGGTTTGCTGAGGACAGGGATGTGCTGCAGGACCCTCTGGGAGGGATCAGGAGCAGCACTGAAGTATACATCAGAGATTATGTAAACTCCTGATCTCCATAGGGGAGGCTGGGTGGAGTCAAGCCCAGCACTAAATTCCCTTGCGTCATTTGTGTTTGTGCTGCTGAGGGGTGTCATTAACTCCAGATCTGGGGCAGCCAGTGTCACACCATGGCTGCCCTGCCCAGGTGCTGGCTGGTATTTTTAACCTTTTCTATTCAAGGTTTTGGTAAAATACCCCCATGAAATGTCACATCCATGAGCTAAACCTGCTTTAGATGATCCCAGTTTATTTCTGATCCATTGGGAGGGGAGGTTTAGAACCATCTGGGAGTCACTGAGCACTGCTCAGACGTTTGGTGTGAAGGCACAAGGGACATGGAGTGGCCAAAGAGGTCAGATGGAACTCTGTCTGTCTCCTTGTCTGGGTTCCAAGGCAATGTCACACCATGGCTGCCCTGCCCAAGTTCTGGGTAGTATTTTTAACCTTTTCTATTCAAGGTTTTGGTAAAAGACCCCATGAAATGTCACATCCACGAGCTAAATCCACTTTAGATGATCCCAGTTTATTTCTGATCTGTTGAGGGGATTTAGAACCATCTGGGAATCACTGAGCACTGCTCAAACGTTTGGTGTGAAGGCACAGGGGACATGGGGGGTCTAGAACCATCCTGGAGTCACTGAGCACTGCTCAAACATTTGGTGTGCAGGCACAGGGGACATGGAGGGGTTTAGAAACATCCTGGAGTCACTGAGCACTGCTCAAACGTTTGGTGTACAAGCACAGGGGATGTGCAGTGGGCAGGGATGTCTGATGGAACTCTCAGATCTCTGATGGAACTCTCTGTGTCTCCCTGCCTGGGTTCCAGGCCAATGTCACACCATGGCTGCCCTGCCCAGGTGCTGGCTGGTATTTTTAACCTTTTTTATTCAAGTTTCTGATAAAAGACCCCATGAAGTGTCACATTCATGAGGTAAACCTGCTTTAGATGATCCCAGTGTATTTCTCACCTGTTGGGGGGTTTAGAACCATCTGGGACTCACTGAGCACTGCTCAAACGTTTGGTGTGAAGGCACAGGGGACATGGGGGAGTTTACAAACATGTGGGAATCACTGAGCACTGCACAAGCACAGGGGACATGGGGGGGTCTAGAACCATCCTGGAACCACTGAGCACTGCTCAGACATTTGGTGTGAAGGCACAGGGGACATGGAGGGGTTTAGAAACATCCTGGAACCACTGAGCACTGCTCAGACATTTGGTGTGAAGGCACAGGGGACATGGGGGGTCTAGAACCATCCTGGAGTCACTGAGCACTGCTCAAACGTTTGGTGTGAAGGCACAGGGGACATGGGGGGTCTAGAACCATCCTGGAGTCACTGAGCACTGCTCAAACGTTTGGTGTGAAGGCACAGGGGACATGGGGGGTCTAGAACCATCCTGGAGTCACTGAGCACTGCTCAAACGTTTGGTGTGAAGGCACAGGGGACATGGGGGGTCTAGAACCATCCTGGAGTCACTGAGCACTGCTCAAACGTTTGGTGTGAAGGCACAGGGGACATGGGGGGTCTAGAACCATCCTGGAGTCACTGAGCACTGCTCAAACGTTTGGTGTGAAGGCACAGGGGACATGGGGGGTCTAGAACCATCCTGGAGTCACTGAGCACTGCTCAAACGTTTGGTGTACAAGCACAGGGGATGTGCAGTGGGCAGGGATGTCTGATGGAACTCTCAGATCTCTGATGGAACTCTCTGTGTCTCCCTGCCTGGGTTCCAGGCCAATGTCACACCATGGCTGCCCTGCCCAGGTGCTGGCTGGTATTTTTAACCTTTTTTATTCAAGTTTCTGATAAAAGACCCCATGAAATGTCACATCCACGAGCTAAATCCACTTTATTTCTGATCCATTGAGGGGGTTTAGAACCATCTGGGAATCACTGAGCACTGCTCAAACGTTTGGTGTGAAGGCACAGGGGACATGGGGGAGTTTACAAACATGTGGGAATCACTGAGCACTGCACAAGCACAGGGGACATGGGGGGGTCTAGAACCATCCTGGAACCACTGAGCACTGCTCAGACATTTGGTGTACAGGCCCAGGGGACGTGCCTGGTGTCTGATGGAGCCCTCTGTGTCTCCCTGGGCGGGCTGCAGGTGCTCAGGCATGGCTGACCTGGACCACTCCCTGAGCCTGGCCGACGCTCTGACGGAGCCGCCGCCCGACGTGGAGCCCGAGGTGAAGAGGGACTTCATTGCCACGCTGGAGGCTGAGAAGTTTGATGACGTGGTGGGGGAGACTGTGGACAAGACAGACTACGTGCCCCTGCTGGATGATGAGGACGAGGCCAGGCCTGGCAGCCAGGAGCCCAAGAGCAAAGGCCACGTGGACGGGATTGCCGTGGAAAGTAAGTGTCCCAAATGTCCCCAGAACTGCCACAGCTGGAGCAGCTGTGCTCGCTGTGACACTGCTGGCCTCAGTCTGACACACATTTCAAAAGCCAGGACTGAGGGCAAGCCCTGTTTGTTGTGTGAAACAGCCCCTCCCTGCTGGGCCACAGGACAGGCTGTGCTTTACATTCATAGCTGGGCTTGGGGGCTCTTGGGGCTCTCAGAGGGAGCACTGAGCAAATTCTGTGGTGCCATGCTCCACAAAGTGTGTCCCAAAAGAGCAGAGCTGTGCAAGGTGCCACCACTCTGGGGGATGGCAGATCTGAGCAGGAAAGGTGGATGATGAACTGGAAGATGGGAATCTTCATCATCTCCCAGATGTTAACAGCTCAACCCCATGGTTCTGACCCAAGGCTTTGTTTACTTGGATTTCTTTTGGCTCTGCTGGTTGTATGCATGGTACCAAAACTGCTGCTGCTGAACACTTTCCAGCCCAGCTGATATTTAGAATTATGGAATCATTAAAGTTGGAAAAGATCTTGGAGATCTTCAAACCCAGCAGCTCCCCCAGCACTGCCAAGGCCACCCCTGACCCATGTCCCTGAGTGCCACATCCACATGGATGTCACATCCCTCCAGCAATGGGGACTCCACCACTGCCTGGGCAGCTGTGCCAGGGCTGGACAGACTTTTCCAGGGAGGAATATTCCCAATTTCCACCCTGAGGCTGCCCTGGCCCAGCCTGAGGCCGTTCCCTCTCCTCCTGTCCCTGTTCCCTGGGATAAGATCCCAAATCCCCCCGGCTGTCCCCTCCTGGCAGGAGCTGTGCAGAGCCACAAGGTCCCCCCTGAGCCTCCTTTTCTCCAGGCTGAGCCCCTTTCCCAGGAGTTCCATCCCCTTCCCAGCTCTGTTCCCTGCCCTGGACACCCTCCAGCCCCTCAGGGTCTGTCCTGGACCTGGGCACCCCAGAACTGCCCCCGGAGTCTGAGGTGGAACATCACCAATTCATTCATGTTAAGAGCTTTATCAAAAATTCTGTAGGAAAAGGAGAGTTTTAAACAGATGCTTCCCTGTGTGAAAGGGAAAGGAGTGAGATCTCGGGGTCATGCAATGAGTTTCTTTCCCAGTGAACAATTTAAATTATTGCTCCTTTGCTTGTGTGCTGTTCCCTCCCTGCCCAGGTGGGAATTGGCACTGGGACCAGGACTGCCTTAATAATTTTATTTGTTTTGTGGCCTTGATCTGTGCTGTGTAGAAGAGGAAAACCTTTGGTAACCTGATGACTTCCTTCAGAAGAAGGTTTCTTTTTTTTTTTACTTTAATGCTGCTGCTCATCAGTGTTGAGGAAGGTGGGATGTGATTGCTCAGAATAAACAGAACCTCCAGGACCATAGCATGGGGAATTCTGCTCTGTTCAAGGCATTTATTTGCTTTGATTAGAAGTGCTTTGGGTGCCTTGTAATACAGAAAATGTAATAACCTTGAATTTTCCATGCTGACACAGTTATTAAATGGCACCAGAGGAGCAGGAGGGATGGGAATGGGCAAAGGGATTATTATAAAACTTGGAACGTGTCTATTATTTATTTCATTTCTATTTTTGTATGCAGAAACAGAGAACCACGAGGACTTGTTAACACCTTGTATGTGATTTGAGGATATTTTAAAGCAATCCCTTGTTGTAGAAAATCCTAAACCATCTCAGCACCAGGATTTCTCAGTGCTAAAATCATTCCACAGTATTGGTGTAAAACACAAGGCCCTTGTGTCCTGGCAGCTGTGTATCCCCAGACATTGCTATTGATACCTGGGGTTTTAGCTTTCTGTTTTTTAGGGCATCACTATCCCAGCTCATTATTCCACATGACTCTAGCACCTTGGGCTGGGGGCAATGAGGCCTTTTGGCTTTGCTCAGGAATTAAAACTCTGTGATAGAGAAAGGCTGGATCCTGTGGGCAGAGCTCAGGCACAAATACTGCGGGGGAAGAAGAGAATTTCAGGAGGAATTCCTTCATGGAAAGGGTTATTAAATACTGGCATGGGCTGCCCAGGGAGGTTGAGAGTTCACATCCCTGGAGGTGCCCCAGGAAGGGCTGGAGGTGGCACTGAGAGCTCTGGGCTGGGGACAAGGTGGGCGTGGGGCACAGCTGGGACTCAGTGGGCTGGGAAGGCTTTTCCAACCTCAGGAACTCAGGGATTCTGGGGTCTCCTGGCTTTTCCAGCCCCTCCTCTCCCCTCTCTGCACTCCCCATCACGGGGCTGCTTGAGCACAACTCGTTTCCTCCTCCGTGGCAAGGAGGGGATGCAGTTTCTCACTCTTGCTTTGGAGATTGGTTTTTCCCTTTTTTGGGAGAGCTGGAGAGCAGTCAGGAGCATGATCTCAATCTTTGGCAAGAGGCAAACGAGACCCTGGTGAGGAGATGGAGAAGTGGCCCTGGGTGGAGCTGTTCAGCTCTCCCACCTTGGACCAGCAGGGAAGGACTAAAGCCTAAAAAGGGTCAGTTACCACAGACCAGGCTCAGGGTTTGGTCCTGGAAAATCTTAATTTCTCTTATTGTTTTTCCCTGAGCTGCTGAGGATACCCTGGGTGCTGAGAATTTCAGATTTTCTGTGTTGAAAGGCACAGACCCTCAGGAGAACACTGCATTTGACCTGAGGCTGTGGAGAAGGCTCCCAAAATGGAATGACAGAACTGGGATTGTGGATGTGGAGTTGGAATAGAAGTGTGTGATATCAGCACTTCAGGGAAAAACAGATACCTCTTTCTTCCATGAAATTTATTTAAGATTTGTAACTGTTTAAAAAGATAGTAAAGTGAATGAGCTTCATTTGTTGAGGCTCCAGAATAAATGAGCTCTGGGTGAGATTTACAGGTCCTAAGGGGGTCTTGGTGCTGCAGTTCCATGTCTGAGTGTACCACCAAGTTTTTGAGCAGTAGCAGAGAGAGTTCCATGTCCCTGGCTCCAGACAGCCTGGCTTCCCTGAGGGAGAGGAGCAGCCTGCAGAGCTCAGGCTTGCAGCCTCCACTCGTTCATTTATTTATGTTAAAAGGCACAAATGTGTTCTGACATCACGGTCTGTGCTCCTGAGATTGTCTTTCCCCAGTCAGAAGAGGTTTAATCCTCCGTCCTGTCAGGCTTTAGCTGCTCCAGCTCTGCTCCAGGGTTTTCTTTTGCTTTTTTCCTAAACCCAGGAGCCAGATGAGGCGAGTTTAATGTTGAGCTGGGCCCCAGCCTGGCTGGGTGAGTACAGAGGGCTGGAGAAGAGCAGGGACCTGTGATGAGCAGTCATTTGGTCACCTACAAATCTGTCCTAGAACAAAGCTTTAATAATAGTTTACTCCCAAAATACCAGGGAGGAATGGGTTTGCTCTTCCTCACACCTGGCTGGACGTGGTAATTTGGCAAATTCTGGGATAATCCCCTTATGACCTTACATAAAAGCAAGGGCTGTGTGCTGCCTGCTTTCCTGAGTGATTCCAAGGCTCTCAGGATCCTCTGGAGCTTCCAGGAAAGTCCTGGAGGCTGCAGCAGCACTTTCCTTCAGGTGCTGATGTGGTGGGGTGATGGAAGGGGTTTCAGGTGGGAGCACATTCCAAGGGAAAGGAAGACACTGGGGTTTAATAATTTACAGCAGAGCTCCTGGGGAGTGTTTCAGTTGAGGTGAGGAGCAGGATTGTCTCTGCAGTGATGGTTACTGGTGGGGAATTGTGTTTCTGGTGAGGAACTGAGCACAGACCAAAGTCCCAGGCCCTGTGCTGGGACGTGGCCTCGTGCTCAGTCCCTGTGTTCTGCATTCTTGCACTGCCCACAGACTCCTTGGTGAGTTTTAACCTTGAACACAGGAATTTTTGGAGGGGGTTGTCCTGATCTGGGCTGGGATGGAGTTGATTTTCTCCACTGGCTGGGGCAGTGCTGTGTTTGGAGGTGGGTGTGGGAATGGTGTTGATAACACACAGGTGGTTTGGTTGTTCCTGAGCCCTGCCTGCTCTGTTTCAAGGGGTTTTTGATTTGCCAGGCTCAGCCAGGGGGCAGGTGCCAGGAAGGTGGGGGGCATGTCCAGGAGAGCTGATCCCACCTGGCCAGAGGGAAATCCCACAGCACAGAACATCCTGCCCAGTATGAACTGGGAGAGATGGCCAGGAGCTGCTGGGGACAGGCTGGGCCTTGGTCAGGGCCTGGTGACCCGGGGGATTGGACACCACTGGTTCCTCTTGGGTTTTATCCACAGGATCAGGGAATTCCTGAGGTTGGAAAAGCCCTCAGAGACTGTAGAGTCCAACCATCCCCAGCACTGCCAAGGCCAGCACTGACCTTGTCCCCAAGTGCCACATCCACAGGGATTTTAAATCCCTGCAGGGATGGGGAGTGCACTATGCCCTGGGCAGCTGTGCCACATCTGGACAGCCCCTTCCAGCAAGGAATTTTCCCAGTTTCCACCCTGAGCCTGCCCTGGCCCAGCCTGAGGCCGTTCCCTCTCCTCCTGTCCCTGTCCCCTGGGATAAGATCCCAAATCCCCCCGGCTGTCCCCTCCTGGCAGGAGCTGTGCAGAGCCACAAGGTGCCCCCTGAGCCTCCTTTTCTCCAGGCTGAGCAATTCCCCTCTCTCTTTTCACTATTATAATTCTATTATTTTATTTCATGTATTAAGCTGTCCTTGAGCCCCTCCCCAGGGGCTGGGGGGGCTCCGTGGGCCCCATTCCCATGGGATTGAGCCCTGCAGGACTCAAACCCTCCTGCCAGGAGGGATGGGCTTGGTTTGACTGAATCGATCCCAGCAGTGGCTCTGGGACCAGGGTGTCACCACGAGGTGGCTCTGCTGGCACTGCTGCCCTGTCCCACAGCTGCAGAGCTGAAACCCCAGGCCAGACTCGGCTCCTTTTGCTTTTCCCTCCCTTCCCACCTGAGGAATACGTGCCTTTGTTCCAGCAGGATTTGCTTTAGCCAAAGGCAGTTCAGACTCTTGATCAGGTATGAAAGGGAAGATGGAGAATGTTCCACACAGCCCAGAGTTCCAGAGGGATCAAAGACAGATCAGCAGAGATGATATTTGCATTTTTATCTCAGATGAGACATTAAACCTTTTCCCTCTCAAAGTCTGTCCAGCTCCATTCCTGCCCCCGAATTGTTACATCACAGAACCCCAGACTGGTTTGGGCTGGAAGGGACCTGAAATCCCATCCAGTGCCACCCCTGCTGTGGCAGGGACACCTCCCCCTGTCCCAGGCTGCTCCAAGCCCTGCTCAGCCTGGCCTGGGCACTGCCAGGGATCCAGGGGCTGCTCTGGTGTGCTGGTTTTGCATCACAAAAGTGATGCCCACCACATCTGGGCACCCTGTGCCAGCCCCTCCCCACCCTGCCAGGAACAATTCCCAATTCCCAATCTCCCATCCATCCCTGCCCTCTGGCAGTGGCAGCCATTCCCTGTGTCCTGTCCCTCCATCCTTGTCCCCAGTCCCTCTGCAGCTCTCCTGGAGCCCCTTCAGGCCCTGCCAGGGCTCTGAGCTCTCCCTGGAGCTTCTCCTCTCCAGGGGAACATTCCCAGCTCTCCCAGCCTGGCTCCAGCCCTGCAGCAGCTCCAGGTCCTTGTGCTGCTGGATCTGGGGCTGGGGCAGCTCTGCAGGTGCTTTTGGGGCAGAATATTGAAAGGAATGAATGGAAGGAGATGACACTGCTTATTTCAGAGTCACCAGCAGGGTCACACTCTGTCCCTCAGTGTTTTCACTCACGTTTTCCTCTCAATGCCAGCATGACAGATAAAACCTGCACGGGCACTTGTGACCCCCAGAGCCCCCCAGAGCCCTCTGTGCCCTCAGGGGTGCCCGGAGCAGGCTGCAGTGCTGCTGGGGACGTGCTGGCCGTGGTGCTGTCCCCTGGGGTCCCCTGGGATTAGGGGCTGCTGGTGGCACTGCCCATTTGCTCCAGATTATCGGTTTAGCCAGCGCTGCCTGAAATTTGTTTATATAAAAACAATCCTTTGATCCACGAGCCAGATGCAAATACTATCTTGTGATTCTGATGAGGATTAGGTAGTTACAACATCTTGACATGGTTTGGGGTTTATGCAATTTGGAATATGAGGGGAGGAGCCCTGGCCCTGGGCAGGTTGCTGGGTGTTTTCACACTGGGGCTTCAGCAAACCAAGCTCAGATTGATTTGCTCCAAAGGCACTGACCTTCAAAGACTTAAAAATAACAACCACTCGTGCTGGCTGGGGTTGGTGTGATGTGACCTGATTTTTCTGGAAGTTTGTCTTCCCAAAAAGCTGGAAGTGTCAAGGGAACCATTTTACCTGCTCTCTGTCCTTCCCAAGGAGAGCCATGGCATTGCTGATCCTTCTGCTGCTGTGGGAGCCCACTGGGGAGGGGTTCAGCCACGTTTGTGGTCAGGTTGAGTCTGGGTTTAATGCGTCAGTAATGGTGGTGGCATCAGAGTCACTGAGGTTGGAAAAGCCCTCCCAGCCCAGTGTGGAAAATTCCAGCCTGTGCCCAATGCCCACCTTGTGGGCACTGAGTGCCACCTGCAGCCCTTCCTTCCTGGGACACCTGCAGGGATGGGCACTCCAAACCTCCCTGGGCAGCCCCTGCCAAGGCCTGAGCCCCCTTTCCATGGGGAGATTCCTCCAGCCTGTGGAACATCCCAGCAGCTCAGTTGCCTGTGCAAGGTGTAAGGAGCAGCTCTGAGAGAAAGGGAATATTCCTTTTATGACAGGATGTGGTCATAGAGGGAATCATGGGGCTGTCCTCTGCAGGGCCAGGAGCTGGACTTGGATGCTCCTTGTGGCTTCCTTCCCACTCAGGAGGTTCCATGATTCTACAGGGCTCAAGAAAATGTGTGGCTCCTTCAGCTGGGCTGAGCTCCCAGGGGATTCAGCAGCTCCTGCATGGAATTCCATGGAATTCCTCAGGGGTCTCACTGCAGAACCTTTGGGCAGCTGTGACTCAGTGGTGTTTAAAGCACACTGACCCTGATTTCAGGGGATCCAGGGGCTGCCAGGACCTCCCCCAGTGTCTGCTTCAGGCCATTCCCCTGTTCCACAGCAGCCCTTGCCCTGCTGAGGAGCAGGTCCAGGGATCCCTGTGCTGTTCCCAGCTCCTCCAGGAGGATGGAGCTGTGTGTTTCTCTGTAAACTGCCAAGTTCATGGGGAGTTTTTGCAGAACACCAGGATGAGGCAGGGATGGAGCTGGAAATGCTTTTCCTTTTGCTTTGCTGAGGGCTGGCTTCAGCCCTGCTGTGTCTGAAGGGCCCTGGTAACGTGGCTGTTACAAAACTGGGGCTCAGGAGGGGCCAGCAGCAGCTCCAGGTGACTGAGTGTGTGTCTCTTCAGGAGAAATCTTTATTATTTATAAAATGAGCATTTCCTCACTGCCAGCAGAGCCGAGGGCCCAGGGAGGAGCTGGTGCTGCTTGTTCTGCTTCCCTAAAACTGCTCAGGGTCATAAAGTCACAGAATCCAGACTGGTTTGGGGTGGAGGGAGCCTTAAGGATCATCCAGTGCCACCCCAGCCGTGGCAGGGACACCTCCCACTGTCCCAGGCTGCTCCAAGCTCTGGCCTTGGGCACTGCCAGGGATCCAGGGGCAGCCACAGCTGCTCTGGGCACCTGTGCCAGGGCGTGCCCACCCTCATTGTATAAAACTTCTTTTATATAATCTGAATGGACCCTCCTGCAGCTGCCAACTGTTCCCCTTGTCCACTGCTGCCAAGTTTCCCAAGTTCAGTCTGTAAATCCTGGTGCTGGTTAAAATTTTGTTCTGACAAAATGGACTCAGTCTCACAGTGATAAGGATTTTCTGTGCTGGTTTTTGGAACTGGTGATCTCCCACCCTGACCACCCTCCTCTAAACCTCCCCTGATCCCTGCTTTAGCAATATTTGATGTTTCAGGAGGAATTTCTCCATGGAAATTTCTCCCCAGGCCTTGGAACTGCCCAGGAAGGTTTGGAGTGCCCATCCCTGGAGGTGTCCCAGGAACTCCTGGAGGTGGCACTCAGAGCTCTGGGCTGGGGACAAGGAGGGGATCAGGCACAAACTGGGAGTGATGATCCCAGAGGGCTTTTCCAGCCTCAGTGATCCTGGGATTCTGTGAGTGTGCTCAGGGCTGGAACTGATAATTCCTTCTGCTGGTTTTAGGATCACCCCCAGGTGACAAGGTGGGCATCCATCAAAGCCTGGGCTCCATCTTGGAGCTCTTTTCCACCCTCAGTGATGGTGCAGCTGCACAGAGCTGTGCTCAGGGCCTGGATTGGGATGAGTTGCAGGCAGTGTTAACCCCTGTGTTGATCCCTTGCAGATTCCTCAGCCTCGGGGCCCACGGTGGTGGAGAACGGTGACCACGGGCTGCAGGACCACCACACAGGTACGTGCTGCAGCTCTGCCCTGGGCCACATCCCCTGCCCTGCACTGCTCACTCCTCCCAGGGGGCTGGGCTTGCCTTTGGAGAGCCCTCAAAGAATGGGCAACAAAACAGAGCTTCAGTTTCTTGGGGGTTTGAAAGGTTTGGTTCAAACCTTGTTCTGAAGGTGTGCTGTTCTCAATCGTGGGCAGTGCTGGGAAGGCAGCTGATAAAAATGGCTTTGGAACTGTCCCCTGTCCTGTCACTTCCCTGTGACCCACAGTGGTTTTTCCCACATTCCCCATCCTTTGGAGCAGTTTTTATTCTCTGCCATGACCCAGCTGTGTCCTCCAGCCCAAGCCTCCCCTGCATGGGCACGTCCCCAACCTGCTCCAGCAGTGGCACAGGTGCCACCGAGCCTTGGGGACCTTTTGCCATGGCACCAGGGTGGTTCTGACTGTGATGGAAGTGGATGAACATTGCAGGCTTGTGCAGAACCTGGAAAAGAATGGAGCCTTGCAGTCAGGCTGAGGTGCTGAGGTTGCTCCTGGTTTAGTGAGCTCTGCTTCCCTTCCCCTTGAGCCTCTGCTGGGAACTGGGGTTCCCACCAAACTCCAGCCCATCCTTTCCCTTTTGTCACAAGGGTTTTGGCTGTGGGGCCTCTCTCTTTTCTTGGGATGGATGTTGGAGGACTTCCCTTGGTCTCCCTGGGGGTGATCCCAGCTCCAGATCTTTGCTGAGGTTGGCTGGGTGTCCCAGTGTTACCCCTCCTAATCCAGAGGAGCAGCCCCGAGTTAAAAAGCAATTCAGGAAATAATGATGAGCATTTGGGGGATGGGGGTGAATTAAAACACCTCTTTGTGTTCATTCTCTTCAGGATTTTAGAGTTTGGTTTAGTGTGAGTTTCATGTCCTTAGTGAGGATTGGAATAGAAAAATTGATCTTTGTGCTTCATTTGCCATTGGAAAGCTGGTCAAAAGGAAGTTGTGCATCTTCTATAATTCAGTATAAACTGAAATTAAGAATGCTTCTGAACCTTCCTTAGGATATTCCCTCCCTCTTGTTTAATACTTCTAACTAAATGAGATAGAAATGCAATCAGATTTATGGTCTGAATAATTAAAGGCATCAGGATTTTTGTATTGAACTTCTGGCTTCTGTTTAAAAAATTCTTTGTTATTTGCCTCACTCTTGCTTTGTGGAGGTTTAACTCTTCACACTAAATGTTAACAACTTTGATCAAAGATACTTTTATGTGTCTGGAGCTTTTTAATTTATTAATATGTTCCCTCTTTGTGGGGTAGAGTTGATTTTTTTTCCTTCTCTTGTTCAAGTCTGTCTAAAAGTGACATCAAAGTGGCAGAGCAGGGTGTCAGGATGAGGAGCTGTGGCCATCAACTTAATTAGGTTTGCCAGAGCAACACAAGATCTACATGACACAATTCCTTCATGGCCTCTTTCCCTGCCCCCTCCCTTGTGGGATGCCTGCCCTGGCCTGGCTCTCCATGGGAGGGACGGGAGAAATGCTGAATTTCTGCAGGGATCTGCAGAATGGATGCTCCCAGTGTTACCCCTCCTAATCCAGAGGAGCAGCCCCGAGTTAAAAAGCAGTTCAGGAAAGAATGATGAGCATTTGGGAGATGGGGGTGAATTAAAGCACTTCTGTGTGTTCATTCTCTTCAGGATTTTAGAGTTTGGTTTAGTGTGAGTGAGTTTTGTGTCCTTAGTGAGGATGGGGGATCCTCTGGGCATGGCCTTGGGCAGGATCTGCCCCCACACCACAGAGGTGCTGCTGCCCAGAGCCTGCATCCCTGCCTCTGAACCACCTCTGCTCTGGGGCTTTCTTCTCAGCAGGATCCATTCCCTGTGGAAGCTGAAATGATTCTTAGGGATGTGGAATCCCAGGGCAGAGAAGTGGAGCAGCCAGGAGAGGAGTGAGGCAGGTGATGCTCAGGCAAACCAGCTTGCTGCTACAAAAAGCAGTGTTAAAAGCTGGTTAAAAGCTTTAAAAAGCAGAGCTGGGTTTGAGCTGATTCTGGTTAAAAGCTTTAAAAAGCAGAGCTGGGTTTGAGTTGATTCTGGTTAAAAGCTTTAAAAAGCAGAGCTGGGTTTGAGTTGATTCTGGTTAAAAGCTTTATAAAGCAGAGCTGGGTTTGAGTTGATTCTGGTTAAAAGCTTTAAAAAGCAGAGCTGGGTTTGAGTTGATTCTGGTTAAAAGCTTTAAAAAGCAGAGCTGGGTTTAAGTTGATTCTGAAACACTCCAAGGAAAAGAGGTCGTTCAGCTGTTTGCACATGCCAGTGTGGATCTCTCTGGGCTGGAGCTCAAGAAGCACTGCTGGATGGTTCCCTTCACTCATCACATCAAACAAGGTGATGATTGACCTTGTTTTATTACATGCAGCATCTCTGCAGCCCTGTGGGTGTGTCTGCAGAGCTGGCATCAGCCAGGCCCGAGCTCCTGGCACTCCTTGGCACCCCCAGGCTCCCTCAGTGCAGCAGCTGGCAGGGACCCAAACCTCTCCAGCTCGGGGCCAGCCCCTCCATGGAGCCTTGGATTCCTTTCACTGGGCAGGGCTGTGCCCAAAGCCTGCTCAGGGCTGTGCCTAGGCCAGGCTTTGGGCAGGGAGAGCCTGGCAGCTCGTGCCAAGGGCTCAGTGCTGGGCAGGCTGAGCCCAGCGTGGCCCTGTGGGGTTTGGTTTTGGGAAGTGCAGAGCTGCAGAGGGGAGCTCTGGGTGCTGGGCACATCCCCTGCAGTCCTGCTGCTGATCCTGCTCTTCCTTAAAAGGAGAAATGGAGAGGCTGGAGCAGCATTCCCAGGGGTGCAGGGCTGGGAGCAGGGAATTCAGTGGTGCTCTGGAATCCCTGCTGGGGGAGGCAGCTCACTGCTCACCTCCACTAGGCCAAGGCCAGGGAGGGCTTAGTCAAACCACCAGCAGGTTTGGAACCAAGAATTCATGTGTAATTTACAATTTGTAACTCTTCATTGTGGGATATTTGCCTAGAGTTCAAAGGAAATATGTATTTAAAAATAAAAGCCCACCAAATTTCTGGGATGAAATCCATCCAGGATGGTTGATCTGGATGTGCCTCTCGCCCAAGGTGCTGCCCATGCTCTTGCTGGCAGGTGAGAAGCTCCCTGGGGCAGTATCCCTGCTGGCTGCTCATCCTTCCCCTGGCTGGCCTTTCCCTCCAGGCAGCCTGCTGGCAGTTCTGGGGCTCCCACAGAAATACTCAGCTTCCAGTGCAAGCTGTGCTCCTGGGGTGTGGTGGCAGGGGACAGCCCCCCTGGGAGCAGAGCTGTGTGGGTGGCAGAGCTGCTGGCTGCCCTGGTGAGTGTTGGTGTTGAGCAGTGTGCTCCATGTGATGTTTACTAATCACTTGCGCTTTCTTGCCCCCTTCCCCATCCCCTTTCCCTCTCCTACTTCTTTTCCTCTCTTCTATTTTCTCCTCCTAGAAGCCTAGACTGTCTCCTAACATGGGGCTGCCACTGACACGAGACCAGTGTCCTTTTCTACCTGCCATTACACTTCTAAAATCTGCAGCATTTTACAGAGCTCTTGCTTTACCTCCTTGGACTTGGCTGTAGAAGAACCAAAGGGTGGCTCCATCCTGCTCCTCCTCCCTGTGCTCTGCAGTGCTTGTTGAAACCTTCCTCTCTCTGTGTAAGCACAAAAGTGCACCCTGCTCTGGAACTGCACTGTGCCTCTGGTTTGAAATCACCACCACAGCTCCATTTTTGCTTTGATCACCTTGAAATTTAATTTCTCTCCGTTTTCATGGTGCTCGATAAGAGAAGGTTTGACATTTCCACTTGTGCTTCCATAGTGGATGGGTCCACCATGACTGCAGCTCCCTTCCCTTGTCCCCACACTCACCACAGCCTTTCAGAGTACCTGCCTTGCTCCTTGCTGCTTGGAAACCCTCTCCCATGGGTTCTGGTCTGTAATAATGTTGTTTTTTGGGGTGGTTCAGATAATTTTAGCACTTGGTAGACTTGAGAAACAGAAAACCAAGAGTCCTGAGGTACAGGTGGATCAGCTCTGGTGTCTGAGGGGTGCATTTTGGGGTCCAAGCCCTTGCCATAAGTGGGGAGTATGAAGGAAAGCTGCTGCCCCAAATTCCTGCCTTAGGGAGTGGCTTTGCTGTCACACTCCTTCCCAAAAACCCTGGAAGTAAGGAAGGAAATTGCCTTTTTTAACTTCACACCTTCCTGTGGGGAATGACAGCCTTGGATGGAGTTTTACCTGCCACGAGAAATAATCTGTCCCTGCTAAAAGTGGGGGAAACAGAAGCACTGAGTTGTGATATTGTGCTGAAATAATCCTGACAATTTCCAGCAGCACCAGAAGGAACTGCCTGGTTTAACCTAAACCAGAGCTACAGGAGCCTGTCCAGTGGGATTCCCACTGCCCCACAGAGGTGCAAAGCTTTCCAAAGACAAAAATGCTGATTTTTCCATCATAGATGAAACCAAGCATGAAAGGAGGAGATAATTAGAGAGGGAAAGCAGGGTTTAACCTGAGGCAGGCTCAGCCTGGCTTGGGAGGTGAGGGACTCTGTTGGGTGAGGAGAATCCTGTGCTGTAGCTCAGGGTACTTGGCCTGCCACGCCTGATGGAAGGGATTTAGTTGAACCCAAATCCAGGATGAGGCTGAACTGCCCAAAACAAGATCTAAGAGCTTCACCTGCCTAAAAATGGCATTTCCTCGTCGTGAGGGCAGTGCCTGGCAGCTGCCCGGGGTGCCCACTGCAGCCCTGTGCTGCTGCAGGCAGGACTGAGGGGCTCTCCCAGCTGGAGTGGGCACTGCCAGGGCTGTGCCAGTGCCAGCAGAGCAGCTTGGGGCATCTCCCCCAGCCGAGGCAGCCTTGCTTTGCTGTCTGTCCCCAGGGAGACCTGACATGCTCCCGGCAGGGTGGCAGTGCCAGCGCTGAGTCACAGCCTGGCCACTGCACCGGAGCAGGACCTGGCACTTCTCTCCCCATTTTGGTGCCAATTTACCCCTCTGTGCCCCCCCCTGAGGCCT